GCCCAGATTGAGTCAGGAGGATATAGAAAACCTAAACAGACCAATATCAATTGAGGAAATAGAAGAAACCATAAAAAGACTACCAACTAAGAAAAGCCCAGGTCCGGATGGGTATACAGCAGAATTTTACAAAACCTTTAAAGAAGAACTAATACCAATACTTTTCAAGCTACTTCAGGAAATAGAAAAGGAGGGAGAACTTCCAAATTCATTCTCTGAGGCCATCATCACCCTGATACCTAAACCAGACAAAGACACTTCAAAGAAAGAAAACTACAGACCAATATCTCTAATGAACCTAGACGCAAAAATCCTCAATAAAATTCTGGCGAATCGGATACAAAAACATATCAAAAAAATTGTACACCATGATCAAGTAGGATTCATCCCTGGGATGCAAGGCTGGTTCAATATACGGAAATCAATAAATGTTATTCACCACATCAATAGACTTAAAAATAAGAACCATATGATCATCTCGATAGATGCGGAAAAAGCATTCGACAAAGTACAGCATCCCTTTATGTTCAAAACTCTAGAAAAACTAGGGATAACAGGAACATACCTCAATATTGTAAAAGCAATCTATGCTAAGCCTCAGGCTAGCATCATTCTGAATGGAGAAAAACTGAAGGCATTCCCTCTAAAATCTGGAACAAGACAGGGATGCCCTCTCTCTCCACTTCTCTTCAACATAGTTCTCGAAACACTGGCCAGAGCAATTAGACAGACGAAAGAAATTAAAGGCATCAAAATAGGAAAAGAAGAACTTAAATTATCACTATTTGCAGATGATATGATTCTATACCTAGCAGACCCAAAAGGCTCTACAAAGAAACTATTAGAGCTAATAAATGAATTCAGCAAAGTGGCAGGATATAAAATCAACACGCATAAATCAAAGGCATTCCTGTATATCAGCAACAAATCCTCTGAAATGGAAATGAGGACAACCACTCCACTCAAAATATCTTCAAAAAAAATAAAATACTTGGGAATCAACCGAACAAAAGAGGTGAAAGACTTATACAATGAAAACTACAGAACCCTAAAGAGAGAAATAGAAGAAGATCTTAGAAGATGGAAAAATATACCCTGTTCATGGATAGGCAGAACTAACATCATCAAAATGGCGATATTACCAAAAGTTCTCTATAGGTTTAATGCAATGCCAATCAAAATCCCAACGGCATTTCTTGTAGAAATAGAGAAAGCAATCATGAAATTCATATGGAAAAATAAAAGACCCAGAATAGCAAAAACAATGCTAAGCAGGAAGTATGAATCAGGCGGTATAGCGATACCAGACTTCAAACTATACTACAGAGCAATAGTAACAAAAACAACATGGTACTGGTACCAAAACAGGCGGGTGGACCAATGGTACAGAATAGAGGACACAGAAACCAACCCACAAAACTACAACTATCTTATATTTGATAAAGGGGCTAAAAGCATGCAATGGAGGAAGGATAGCATCTTCAACAAATGGTGCTGGGAAAACTGGAAATCCATATGCAACAAAATGAAACTGAATCCCTTTCTCTCGCCATGCACAAAAGTTAATTCAAAATGGATCAAGGAGCTTGATATCAAATCAGAGACGCGCCGTCTGATAGAAGAAAAAGTTGGCTACGATCTACAGTCAGTGGGGTCGGGCTCCAAATTCCTCAATAGGACACCCATAGCACAAAAGTTAATAACTAGAATCAATAAATGGGACTTACTCAAACTAAAAAGTTTTTTCTCAGCAAAAGAAACAATAAGAGAGGTAAATAGGGAGCCTACACCCTGGGAACAAATCTTTACTCCTCACACTTCAGATAGAGCCCTAATATCCAGAGTATACAAAGAACTCAAAAAATTAAACAATAAGAGAACAAACAACCCAGTCAACAAATGGGCCAAGGACCTGAACAGACACTTCTCAGAGGAGGACATACAGTCAATCAATAAGTACATGAAAAAATGCTCACCATCTCTAGCTGTCAGAGAAATGCAAATCAAAACCACCCTAAGATACCATCTCACTCCAGTAAGACTGGCAGCCATTAGGAAGTCAAACAACAACAAGTGCTGGCGAGGATGTGGGGAAAAGGGTACACTTGTACATTGCTGGTGGGACTGCAGATTGGTGCAGCCAATTTGGAAAGCAGTATGGAGATTTCTTGGAAAGCTGGGAATGGAGCCACCGTTTGACCCAGCTATTCCCCTTCTTGGTCTATTCCCTAAAGACCTAAAAAGAGCATGCTACAGGGACACTGCTACATCGATGTTCATAGCAGCACAGTTCACAATAGCAAGACTGTGGAACCAACCTACATGCCCTTCAATAGACGAATGGATAAAAAAAAATGTGGCATTTATACACAATGGAGTATTACTCTGCATTAAAAAATGACAAAATCATAGAATTTACAGGGAATTAGATGGCATTAGAGCAGATTATGCTAAGTGAAGCTAGCCAATCCCTAAAAAACAAATGCCAAATGTCTTCTTTGATATAAGGAGAGTAACTAAGAACAGAGTAGGGACGAAGAGCAGGAGAAGAAGATTAACATTTAACAGGGATGAGAGGTGGGAGGGAAAGGGAGAGAGAAGGGAAATTGCATGGTAATGGAAGGAGACCCTCAGGGTTATACAGTGGAGGAGGTAGAGAGAGAGGAGGGGAGGGGAGGGGAGAGGTGGGGAGGGGGGAGGGTGGAGGATGGGAAAGGCAGCGGAGCACAACAGACACTAGTATGGCAATTTGTAAATCAATGGATGTGTAACTGATGTGATTCTGCAATCTGTGTATGGGGTGAAGGTGGGAGTTCATAACCCACTTGAATCAAAGTGTGGAATATGATATGTCAAGAAATTTGTAATGTTTTGAACAACCCACAATAAAAAATTAAAAAATTTAAAAAAAAAGGAAAGGCTATAAGATCTGTATCACTGATATGTGGAAATATTTATATTAACTTTTTAAATTTGTTCTTTTTAGATATCCATGAGAGTAGAGTATATTTGGACATATTATATATACAAGGAATATACTTCCCATTTTTGTGGTTGTACATGATGTGGAGTTACACTGGTCATGTGTTCATAATGTACACAGGAAAGTTACTTCCCAATTCATTCTACGGGCTTCCTATTACCATCTCTGCTTCTGTTCACTCCCCTTTGACTAATCCAACAAGCAAACATCTATTCTTCCCTCCCCACACACCCATATTAACCTTTTCATCTCTGAGAGTATACAACTTATAGATCATATATCTTTGGAATAATTTCTGCTTTGTCAATTATTATAAAAGTTTATAATTATAACATGTTTTGCAATACTATCACCAAAGAAATGAATTCCCAGCCATTTTAAAATGAACCTCCAAAAAACCTACCTGCAAATCTGAGTTTATTCTATTTTTGCCAGTAAACACTACGCAAAACATTCCATGCTAGAAGAAAATACCAGAATTTCTATTTACTTACTATACTATACTTGGATGTAAGTGTATCAGGTACCATTAACATATATTGGTATACAATTTATAAATAAATGCATGTATTAGGGGTATTTAACAGCAACAGCATACAATCAAAAGACTGAGATTACTATTTGATGTAATAGGCTTCTATGAAATAGGCTAAAACCTAAAATTCTTCATATCAGCATGTTTTTTCCCCACAATGGCTCAGTTCAGTTTCATGAGTATTTGCATGGATTCATTGGGAAATGACAGGTACTAGAAGATCAAACAGTCAAGTGAAAATATGAAACAATTACAGAACTAAACCAGAGTTTTAATTTCATTCTTTAATAAAATTGTTTTATTTTTTTATTTTTGTGGCGACAGAGATTGATCCTAGGGCCTCACACATACTTGGCAAGTACTCTACCCCTGAGCTACATCTCCACTCCCAAAAAAGAGTTTTATGATTTTTTTATGATCATTCTAAATGAAAAGGTAATTTTTATTGTAGTTGTTGGGTACCATGAAGCCTTTTCATTTGATCTGAGCAGATACAAATTTAATGAAATTTAAATTTAACAGAGGGAGCCATGAATATATAATACTTTCTACAATTTCACATATTTCAGGTTAGTTTTGAGAATTCTCAATTTCAGTGACCTCAAGAATTAAATATTTTCCAGAAATATGATGGAAATTTATTTAAAAAGAAAGCCTGTTCTTTATCCTAATTTGGTTACTCATATTTGTTATTTGACTGAATTTTTTAATCTACTTTCAGGAACAGATGCCAATAAGCATGGCTGGAAGTATTTTATGTCCAATTGACAGCATCTGGATGCATAATAATATTAATTTCTTAAAACTTTTATTACTTGTGGCTGGGGCTATGGCTCAGGGTTAGTGTACTTGCCTGACATGTGTGAGGCACTGGGTTAGATTCTCAGCACCACATATAAATAAATAAAATAAAGGTCTATCAACAACTGAAAAAATATTTAAAAAAAAAAACAAAAAAAAATTATTAGATGTTGATAGACTTTAAATTTATTCATTTATTTATATGCAGTGCTGATAATTGAATCCAGTGCCTCACAGATGCTAGGCAAGCATTCCACCACTGAACCACAACACCAATCCCCATATAATAATTATTTAAAATCAGTTTTGTGTTTTGTAACTTATAGGACACCTTTAAATGATCTTAATATAAGTTTATTTTAAAAACTGGGAAGAGATATAGGAAAATGGGTAGTAAAATAATGATTTAAAACATATATTTTAAATATTATTTAAAATAATACCATGAGTTGGAAGAAAAGGATTAACCAGACACAATAAAAACACACATAAATGCCTCATACACAGTTATAACTAAATAATAACATGGTTAGTATTTTAGGAGTATCTATGAAATTTTACTAAGCAATAATATACAGTCTTGGATAACTTCATTAATTTTTTTAAAAAGTCTTTTTCTTGTAAGTTTTCCTTTTGAATACTATTGACTTATACATTTTAACCTTCTACAAAATTCCTTACCTGCAGCTAAAGAAGCACAACACTGCTGCTTTTCCTTTGTGATCTCATTCAACCTATACGGTACATCCAGAAGGGAAGGTGAAAGAAGTGGCAGAGAAGGGAATTTTCCTACTCCACACATTTGGACTGAACCCAGTGAAAGGTGTTTCACAAAGGTTGAACCATTCTGAACAAAGCTGTAATGAAAGTGATATGATCTGTAAAAATACAAAACTTTTTAGCAGTTTTATTCTGTTTTTCCCCTTCAAATGATTTCTCCACACAAATGTATAAAGATAGTAATATAGTAGGAAAAAAATGTTCAATTTGATTAGATTTCAAAACTGCTTTCATGGCATCCATTATTTTAGCCGGCTTTAGTCCAGGCCTTGTTGTAACACAAATGGCAGAATTGAAGTGCTTTTTCTTTCTGAAAAATCTGAAAACATGCCGAAATCAACTTGCTGGCTCTCATAATTCATTTCCATTTGTAGTTTCATTTTAGAAAATTTCATTGTAAAAGGCAGATTTCATTCATATTAATACCAGAATATTTTTTTCTTTTAATTGATGAAAATTAGAGAAAGAACTCTATGTACATATTCTAAACATTATATCAATTAAATTTAACAAATCAATGAATAAATAAATAGAAACAAATAACATAAAACAAGTTACTTTTTCCCAAACATATTTTATATAGAACAGATTTTACATGGGTTTGTTTTTGTATGTTTCAGACTAAAGGATGTTAATAAATTTACTCTCCACTTAAAACTTTTCCAGCTCTGAGTCTCCAAATTTCATGCTTTGGTCTTTTAAGAGCATGTGTAAAGTGACTCTGTGTATAGTTTCTATGCAAACACACCTATTTACATAAGCTTTGTTGGATATACCTTGACATCTGCTTCCATGCTGCATCCAGAAGAGTGGTGTATGCACCAATTAATATAGCATCAAAGTAACATGGGATAAGGTATCGTGGGATCTGCTTCAAGTAGAAGAACATAGCCTGAAACCATTTACCAACCTGTTGTAAAAATAATTTAAAAAGTTAATTTGGTGTGTTCACAGGCTACGCATATTTTAAGAGATAAATCATAACATGAAACTGTGCTATCCAATAATTCATGAATCAAATTTCCATGTATTAAAACTAGAAACACAAAGAAGGGAGGAAAACAGGTAAATATTATATATATACATACTGTATATATCTATATATAATAATTCTTATTGTGCCTTTGCTTATTTTAGAGTAGGACACAGCTTACTTATTTAATACTTACTTCAGCAATATTTCCTGAACGTGAAATAAGCCGGCCACTGACATAATCGATCATCCAATCTCCAGATCTCAAATTTTCACAGAAAGGATGCCCCAAGTCATTCTTTGGTCTTATTTCTGCCAATACGGACATTAGCCCTGAAAATTCAGATATACCATGCTGCATTACTGATAGAGTCAAAATGTCCCATAGTTGAGTTATGGCTAGTCCTGATGATTTGACATGAACAGAGAAGCAGACAAAATGGCCACTTAGTCCACAATGGCACTCAGCATAGTATGAGGAAAGTGTGGCGGTATGGACTGGAACCAGGATGCAAAGGCGTGTTGATGGAGACTACTGCCACAATTCATACAAAGCTTCCCAAAAGTTATAACTTGTGGCACTGGTCTACTTTTTTTTAATGTTATAATATTCAAAGTCAATTGGCATTTTTATTTTTGCCTTAAGACATAAAGGAGAAAAAATTGATAATCCTGTATCTTTCCATGATATAAAGTGGTAAATTCATTATAATTCAGGCAAGATTTAAGAAAATCACAGAACTGGTCTCGGAGAAAGCAAGAATACCTATGGTGATAAGAAGAATAAAGCTTGCTTTTGAGGGACTCTGAGGAGGCACTTCAAAGTAAGCAAATCATCAAAGTGAGATATTAGGAAAATTCTCATTTAGGCAAAATTATTATTAGGCAAAATTCTTAAATAGATGCATTAGAATGTCTATGTGTACATAGCAGAGTCTGCTATTCAATGAAAGAACAATTGCATTTCTTTTATTATTCAACAAGATAATCATAGCTTAGCTACTGTGAATTATGCTGCTATAATGCCTGCATGACTGTAGTATGTGATTTTAAATTGTTTGGATATATGCTAAGGAGTGGGTCAAATGGTCGTTCCATTCCTAGTTTTCTAAGGAATCTCCCTCCATACTGTATTCCAGAGTGACTGCACCAATTTGTAGTCCCACCAACAATGTATAAGTGTACCTTTTTCCCCATATCCTTCCCAACATTTATTATTGTTACTTGGATTCTTGATAATTGCCATTCTCACTGGAGTGAAATGAAATCTCAGTGCGCATCAAAAGATGAATGGATAAAAAAAATGTGGTATATATACACAATGGAGTATTACTCAGCCTTTATGACATTTGCTAGTAAATGATGGACCTGGAGACTATCATGCTAAGGGAAATAAGCCAATCCTCAAAAACCGAAAGTTTTCACTGATATGTGGAAGCTAACCCACAATAAGGCGGGGTAGTGAGAAAACAGAAGTTCAGATTAGACAAAGGGGAACGGAGGGAAGGGAGGGGGAATAGAAAAAGAAAAGGTAATGGAATTAATCTTACATAATTTTGTTATGTACATGTATGAATACCCCACTGTGAATCCCACCCAGGTGTACATCCATAAGAATGATGTCCTAATTAGAATAAAATACATTCCCTGCTTATATAGTTATATCAAAATACACTCTACTGTCATGTATAACTAAAAAGAACCAATAAAAATTAAAATTAAAAATTAATCATTCCCACCTTATTAAAAATGTTATTTTGGTTTCAGTGATATCAACTAAATTTAGTTAGAATTTAATAAATCCATGAACTGTGTATATGGTATATTCTGAGAAATAAATAAATTTAAGATAAAGTTTTTCCTTCAAGGGAAGGAAAATTTGGGAAATAAAGCTTAAATACAAAAAATCTGGAAAGCAAGACAGTATAAAATAACATTCTACATATGTCCTAAAACTTTTGTGAAAGGTGAATGTTGCTCAGTAAATATTAGTACCACTGATGAACAATGAAATTTGATGGGAACAATGTTTCAGGAAACAGATCTGACAGTGACCAAAGGGATGGAATTAAGTGTGGAGGAAGGAACAACAGCTAGAGTGAAAATGGAGTAGGGTAACTGCTTAAAACAACTAACAGATACATTTACTTACTACTCATAGAACAAAATACTTTGTTTTGCCATTAAATACAACAGGTCTCAGAAAAATTTACTAGAACTTATGTGCTTGCTTTAGTAGGAGGTATAAAAGCTGAGGACAAGAACCACAAAAAAAGATTAAAAGCTACATTCTTCTTTCTCAAGTTATAATCTTAGTAGAATTTTAGAGTAAACACTTCCTAAGTGCTTATTATGAACTCAGTATTGTCTAAGTGTCTTAAATGCATTAACTCCCTTCATTCTATCAACAATCCCTTGTGATAGATACTATTATTAGCGACATTTTTCAATGAGAAAACTGAACCATAGAGAGTTTAACTACTCTAAGGTTATGCAGCTACTCAGTGGAACCTAGGTCTAGTTTTAGAGCCCGCTTCTTAAATACAATGATAAAAATTCATAAAAAATTATAAGTACCAAAATAAGGTAATATATTCCAGAAAGTATAGTAAATAAAGGTAATGGGTGTCTGTCTGTAGAACAAAGAAATTACTGAAGAAAGTGATAGTTTGTAAAAGTTCAGCTGGGCATGACGGTACACACCTATAATCCCAGCAATTTGGGAGGCTGAGTTTGGAGGATTGCAAGTTCAAGGCCAGCCTGGGCAACTTAGTGCAACTCTGTCTCAAGATTAAACAATAAAAAAGGCAGGGGATGCAGCTCAGTGGAAGAGCATCCCTGGGTTTAATCCCTGGTACTGCAATGAAAACAAAACATTAAAAAAATAAAAATAAAAGGAAAGGCTTTATGGAAGGTGTAAAAATGAAACTGATCCTTAAAGAAGGGTTAAGTGACAAAGAAATAAAGGTCCAAAAAGAGGCATGACAAATGGGAAAATATATGAACCAGAAATATGGGTTTGATAAACCAAAGTTCTTATACAAAAATCTGGGAAAATATTACCAACCAGACAGATTAATATTAAACTCATAGTTAAATATTTGTTTTCTATAGCCCATCTTATAAATACTCTAACTACATAAGTTTGTTCCCCACTCCCTCTCTTAGATGCTGGGAATCAAACCCAGGGCCTTCAGCATGCTAGACAAGAACTCTACCACTGAGCCATGTCCCTAGCCCTGTAAGTTCCTTTATAGGAGGAAACAAATATGCAATGAGAACAAAAATCCAATTAGTCCAATTAGATGAAGAAGGAAGAAGAATGTGTTATATTTATAACTCAGTTTCTTTTGGAGACTAAACAAACATATTCTGCTTTTTGAACATAATAAACCAAGTCAAAAAATATTAATTAAGGTTAAAGTATATTTAAGAATTCTAAATGATTTGAACGAATGACACAGGACCAGTAATTCTAGGTAGCATGTACTGAGTGAATGCCTTGTGCTACACCCTGGTTATAGTGTTTTACTTGAATGATTTTATTTACTCCTCATGTAGCCTTCTGAATTAGTCAATTTATTCACATCTTACTGAGGCAGGAACTGGGGTACAGAGAGATTATGTTACTTGCCAAAGGTCAATGAGTATGGAGCAGAGTCACAGTTTGAACCCAGGCAGTTGCACTCTCAGCCCATACTTCTATTTATTTAAAGAAGGCATTGTATGTCTGTAAAAGAAAAATGAAAAGTTTGTCTATTCTTATACTTGCTTACCTTGAAGACCTGCATATTTAAGGGAAGACCAGTTTGGTATGTCATAGCAACCTCCACCATCTTCCTGTTCTTCTGATTCACATCGGTAAAGTATCTGATTTAGCTCAGTCAAAGTTAATTTAGAGGCAATACTAAGAATTGAAAAACAAAGATAAATGGTTAAATATACTGACTTTTACTTGCTTTTAATAAAAGCAAAAGAATAAAACCTGCATTATAAAGTATCTTTGTAACACACATTTTAGGAACTCAGTTTTAAAATAAACATCATATATATGTTATAAATAGTAATCAAGATGCTAGAAATTAAATTACAACTAATATTACTCCAAAACCAAGTACATGATTAAAGTACCAAATTTTATTGATTAAAGCATGATGGAGGACTTAAAATCAGCATACTACAGTGATGCAACCACATCAATGTTTATAGCAGCTCAATTCACAATAGCTAAACTATGAAACAAACCTAGATGCCCTTCAACAGAGGAAAGGATGAAGAAAATGTGATACATACACACAATGGAATATTACTCAGCCTTAAAGAAAACTGAAATTATGACATAGGCAGGTAAATGGATGGAACTAGAGAATATCATGCTAAGTGAAATAAGCCAATCCCAAAACACCAAAAGCTGAATGTTTTTTCTGATAAGTGAATGCTGATCCATAGTGGGGTGGGGGATAGGGAAAAATGAAGGGACACTGGTTTGTGTACAGGGAGGTCAAAGGAGTCAGGGGAAAGGTGTGGTTGTGGTGAAGGGAAGGACAGTAGAAAGAGACAGACATTATTATCCTATATATATGTATGATTACACTACTGGAGTGACACTGAACCATGTACAGCCAGAGGAATGAGACGCTGTGCTCCATTTGTGTACTATACGTCAAAATGTATATTCTTCTGTAAAATTAATTAATTAATTAATTAAAAAAAAAAAAAGGCATGATGGAGCCAGCTGTGGTGGCACACACCTGCAATCCCAGTGGCTGAGGAAGCCAATACAAGAGGATCTCAAATTCAAGGACAGACTCAGAAATTTAGCAAGGCCCTAAGCAACTTAGTGAGACCCTGTCTCAAATAAAAAAATAAACAGGCCTGGGGATGTGATTCAGTGGTAAAGCATCCCTGGATTCAATCTCTAGTACTGGGGGTGGGGTGGGGAGAATACAAAGATCTTTTGGTTTTTTATATACTTTATAAGTCTATTTTTTAGTTCTTTCAGTTAGACTTAGTTTTTTCCCTGATAAGTGAGACATAAAGAACTTTTTATGCTGTTTATCTTAAAAACTTGGAATACCTATCAAAGGATCAATAAAGGGATAATCAAAAGTCAAAGTTAACCACCTAAGAAACAACAGTCTCTGCCTTTGTATTTCTCTCCTGGCACCATCTTTCGTATCAGGTTGCACTGCCCCTCAGTTCCATCATTCAAGAAACCAGCATCTTCTCAGAAAAAAAGATGCTTCTTGATAATGGTCAGAGGAAAGTCTAAGTGTCGTGGCCTTAATTTCCCTTCATTCAATTAGCACTGAGACTGTAAAACTGACTGCAGATGAATATACCTGAGTTGTATTTTCCTGTATTTCTGGTTGCTCAGGTGACTTCATTTTACATAATTGCAATTTTATGTGAACATATGTCCTCTTGAACATACATCCTTCTTGGTCTTTTTGTTCTGTCTTGGCTTAGAGCTGTGCTTTGTCTCTATCTCAGCCTCTCTCCTCACAGCTATATTTCATGAATCAAGACTGACCATTTGCAGACTTAATACCAACTTCACTTTAGGGCATTATTTTCCAACATGTAGCCAGTGGACTCCTTCAACAAGAATAACCTTGAAAGCTGTTTAGAAGGCAGATTTCTTGCCCTTGCCCTGAAATAATCAGAGTAGGTTCAAGGGGGAATGTGCTTTTATAAGCATTCTACAGAAACATACATCTATTGCAGATTGTTTTTTTAGCAGCTACTTTGCTAAGAACGGTTTGAATTTCTTAATTCTTTAATTCTTAATTTCCTAATTCTTTCTTAATTTCTTAATTTCTTCAATAATAAATGTGCTTATAAAACAACAAAAAATTTAACACCAAAGAAAAATGGGCTAATATATAAAATGACATCTCACCAGATAAATACAAATGGACAAAAAAATTAATTAATATGTTGAGATGTTATTTTAAAGTATTTTATACTTCATATTTACCAATTTAATTAGTAATAACATTTATGATCATTTACTGTGTGTTAAACACGATGTGTTTTATATGAATAATTCTCACAACTCTCCATTAACAGGCACTCATTCTTATTTCTTATAGCTAATAAGAATCAAAAAATAATAATTCTTACCTAGTCTGGGTCTACACTCAGCTTTAACGTACTGCATTACAATAATATATATTCAGTATTGGTAAGGATGGACACTCTAACACTGAGCTGAATATTCTCATTAGTACAATCTTCCTGGAGAAGACTTGGCAGTATAGACTGAAAGACACAATCTTATAATACAATCTAACCCCAAATTTAATTTATGGAAACTTATCCTAGTAAGAATGAGAGCAAACACATCAAGCCCTCTATGTGCTAGTCATTCTATTATAAGTGGTTTGTATTTGCCCTATTTAATCCTTACAAAACCTAAGAGGTAGATACTATTTATTATAAGCCCTTTTTCCCAGATGAGGATTGAGCTGAAGAAAGTTATTAATAACTTGTCTAAAATCATATTGATGGTGATGAAATTATAATTGAACCTACATCTAAGCTTCAAAACCAATATTATTCAGTATTAGTGGAACACATAGAAAGTGAATAATTAAAGATTTATTCCAAGAAGAATGTACAAAGACATAAATAATAGGGAATAATTTGAAGCATTCTAGATGTCCAAAATGGAAAATGATTGAATAAATCATGGTATAGTCATATAATAGAATAATATGTTAAAATTTTTAAAAATGATGTAGTAAGGAGTGTGATGTATAGAACCTAATCTCAGTTCAATAAAATTGTGTGTGTGTCTCTGTTTATGTAGACATGTATGTATGTATATCTGAAGAAAGACTGCACAAGAATTAGAAAGCACCCCTGTGAATACCCACATGAATGATAATATAACAGGATAACAATAGCTGATGCTGACACTACTGGTCCCTGCACCACACTTTGAGTAGTATGGACAGAGAGGACCCTTAACGTGTTTAAATCAAGACAGCAACAACTCACCAGTTATTAAAATGTTAAATCTCTATAAAATAAGACATACTTACGAAGCAAAGGGGATTTTTAATATAGGATCTGCGTTGTCAACAACAAGGCTCCCAGATTTAAAGTGAGGACTGAACTGTGTCAGATGATTTCGAAGAATTCCAACAGCAACTTGTGCATGTGGATCAAGACTAACTCTGAATGATGTTAATAAAAAATGGTTGATTTTTAGGAGTGATTTATTCAAAGTTTACAGTTAAACTGTTTTAAATATAAGTAAAGTCAATAATTTGAACTCTAATTAACATACCTGAATATTATAACACTTCCTGGAGACAAGTTTTCAAATTCTATTTCTTGAATATATTCATTGGGCCCTTTTGTGGCAACTCCAGCTTGTTTAACAATTTTACTTTCATTAAGCTTGAAAAAAATTATGAAAATCCATTCAACAAATAATTCACATGACCTTAAAATATTCAAAATAATAGAAAGAGGTGAATCCCAAATACCTGAATATGTTCTCTAATTTCTACTGTGATATTTGGTAACCCATTGATTGAATTCTCATCCTTCTTATAAGGTTTTGTATTTCTCTCAATAGTTCTAGCTTCAAGAACTACTTCTTCAATTTTGCCTACAAATATATTAAAAAGTTAACAAAAAATTGTTCCTAATGTACATTCAAAATTTAAATAAGAATATTACCAACCATAGTAAATTTTATTAAAAACTGAATGACAAAATACGAAATACACTTAAAATCACAATTTGTAGACTTAACAGATGGAAATGTTTTAAGAATCATTACTGATCAAAACAAAACCTGAGATAATACTGTACAGTGATGGAGTTCTGTAAAAGTAACTATGAAGGGATGGGGCTGGGAGCACAGGTCAGTAGTAGAGCATGTGCTAAGCATGCAGGAGGCCCTGGGTTCAATCCCCAGCATCAAAAATAGAAAATAGGGCTGAGGTTGTGGCTCAAAGGTAGAGTGCTCACCTAGCACATGTGAGGCACTGGGTTCAATCCTCAGCACCACATAAAAATAAATAAATAAAATAAAATCACCATATCCATTGACAACTAAAAAAAAAATAGAAAATAAACACAAAAATCTATGAATATTAGTAAAGATTCAATGAGATTACTGAATATAAATTTAACAGTTAAGGAAAGTAAGGAATATTTAACACTAAAACTATTCAGGTTGATAATATTTAAAGATTGGAATTATACATATTTAGCAACCAGCAATGAACACCTATAGAATGTGATTATTTTTATGAGACTCTCCAAAGTCATACTGTTGCTGCTTACACAGAATCAAGCTATGCTATCATATACTATCTGTAATAACAAGAAAATAAAATATACTTATCTAGAAAAAAGTCTAGAAATAGTAACATATCTCAGGGATATAGTTTATAATTAAGTATCAAAAGAGAGACATAGAATATGATTATTATATGTTTAGAAAGAAAAATCACTGAGTATGTATAGGTTTTTCAAAGAGGTGGAACTTTAGTCCTTGAAGGAGATAAATCATATACAGATAGAAATAAGACTTCTTCGGAAACAGTGAAAACATCTATTTGGCTGAAACAGTAGAGGAATGCAGGGCTAGGATAGTAGATGAGGATGGATTGCAAGGAATCTTAAGTATCATGTTAGACTATTTTCCATTTTTGTTTATATATGTGTATGTGCGCAAATGCAATACATACTTATACACACATATAAATGTATGTCACACATATAAAAAGAAATATTTATCTATGTCAGAGTATAAGACAAATACATGTTCATTATATACATATTAAGGGAAAACAGAATGTATTAAGATGTAAACAAAACATTTTAAAATTCAAAAAAAGGTTAATATTTGAGTGTATTTCTGTCCAGATTTTGTTCCATGCAATAAAAATGTAAGTTATCCAAAATTTGTAATTCCTCTTTTTAACTACATTCACACTTGCATTTGTTATATAGAACATATAATGATGACGTATATGACATTATAGTATAATTTAATATAATGATATAATTACAATAACAATTTTTAGATTACATTACCGGGGATACACATTTGAGGCACTTCCTTGCTGTAAAATGAAGTTTTGGGATTCCTGAAAGCAGTTCTAGATACAGCCACAACAGACTGATGGATACTGGGTGAATGTCTGGTTACGGCCACTATATCTTCATCAACCTGATCCACATACACCTGAGAAGTGAAAAAAGGCACTTAATTAGCACTCAAATTGAAAGTGAGTGCTCAAACTGATAAGTCTTCCCCTGTAAACTTTCAGAAAGACATTTAGGAAACTTGGTCTCTTGCCTGAATAAAGCCCTTGGCTCCAAGCTCTTGATGAAGTTTATTGATAGCACACCTGGCTGCAATAATTCCACTTTGGAAATTGACATCACCGGTATTTGATGGGGATGCTCCAGGATTCCACTTAGTATAAAACCGTTCTTCAGAAACCACTGATATCTGGAGAACGGTAAAACTTGGCCATGTATACATTTTAATTACAATGGGAGTTTTTTTATAAAAATGCTAATCATATGAATTTTAAAAAACAACACATAAACAAACCTGATGAGGTACTAGTTCATCATAGCCTCGTGTACTTCCACTAGCACAACATGCCATAGAAACAATTGTGGTACTTGGGAGAGCATCATAGGCTGATCTATGCTAGGAAACAATTAAAAAGCAAAATATACTTTCTTTCAAAGGAAAAGCACTGTATCATAATAAAATAAATAAGTAAAATTCTGTATCATAATGAAATAAAAAATCATTACACAAATACATTCTATAAGATACATTAATTTCTTCTACAACAAAAGAACATCTTTAAAACCATAAGCTATAATTGCTTTTAAATCTAAGATACTATTTTGAAGTATGTGGATATTTATGCCACAAAATATCAGATAAGTAAATATCAAAATATCTAGCAAAATAAGTAAATACAAGAAATGGAATGATGCTTACCACAATAGGACACTCGTTATCATGGGTAATATCCATAAACAGAGCATGTGCAATAGCCGGCATTAAGGGTCTCAAGCAGGGCTGAACAAAAGATCCGACAGGTTCGCCTCCATATCGGTAAACTAACCTGCCCTCTTCATGACTATTATATGCACTCATTGCCTCTGTGGAGCATTACAGAACATTTTAACAATCTCTACTACTTATGTCCAAGAAAAGGTTAAATTTCACAATTGATTTTTAAAATAAAGAACACATCAGTATAATCAAATATAAAACTTCTTTAAGCAAATTCCTAAGTAATTAATGATAATTACTAAATGTCTACTAGTTTAAATGACCAAAGAAGTCTTTTATAACTTAGGGGGAGAGATGGCTCAGATAGAAAAAAGGAAACCTCAGGTGTTTACTGAGATGTTAGCTATACAAAAATCTATAGGAAAAAATCTAAAGATTATATCATATACCCAGGTAGAAAATGAAGAACAGATTTGTATATTTTTAACAACAAAAAATGGTTTTGATTGTGAGCCATTAGATCATCCTGCCAACCTTGTGATTTGAAATGAGATCTTTTACCCCAAAGTAGAAATATTTACTGATAAAAATAGATTGACTTAGATTGGAAACTCTCCATAGACTATCCAAAAGAATATTAATTGTATTGAAAATTATTAAGAATTACATTAAAAAACTACTAAATGTCTTTCAGTACACTTAAACAAAAGCTGAAGTTTTAAATGGGAAAGACACTTCAACAAGCCTACCTCTTATTAAGGAACTAATGCCCAGTCTAGTAACAAAGATATTGTCCAGTTCTTCGTTTCCCGTGAACAGTTCAGCTACTACATATAAATTGGGTTGTAATTTCCTAGCAGCATCCAACATGTACTGAAAAAAGCACAGTAACACATGTAAAAGAGAGAAAAGTGAGACAGGTAGGAAGGGAGGAGACAAGACTAGGCATGGGTTTAATACAAGAAGATACATATGGTAAGACAAAATGAAAATTCAGAAAGAATTCCAAATGAAGTTTGATGCACAAATGTGACAAAACAACAAACAGAACCAACAAACATAGGAAATATGAGAATATGTAGAGTAAAGCAGTTAAAAAGAAGTTTAGATTTTGCAGAGATAGGGACACAAGGGAGAAAAGAAGAAGAAAAATGTTAGTGCTTTTAAAAAATGTAACCTGTATCACTGCAATTCTGCCAGTATTTCTCCCTGCTTCTTGTTAAATATATATATATATATATATATATATATATATATATATATATATATATATATATATATATATAATATTTTAGTTTGTAGTTGGACACAATACCTTTATTTTATTTACTTTTATGTGGTGCTGAGGATCGAACCCAGGGCCTTGCACCTGCTAGGTGAGTGCTCTACGGCGGAGTCACAACCCCAGCCCTTGTTTGTTTGTTTTAATATCTAGTCAGACTGTTAATTTCCAGGTGGTTTCCTAAGTAATTAATGATAAATTCTTTCCTGGTGAATTATTTAGCTATTGTAAAATTTAGGTCTGACTGACCAAATTGAAGCCTGCAGATAACAAACTCTTAAGCCACTGAGTCCCATTTTCAATTCTGTAAATATTCCAATGAAATTGACATAGGTACATTAAAACAGGTAAAAAAAATCATAATATAGATTATGATTACATATATTAATCAAATTTATATTATTATATAATTAATCATATTATATAATATGTATTCTATGTTGTATACTCTATTTAAGTTTTTATATGCATTCCATATCTGGGATTATAGGACAAAATAGATTAAACTCGTTACAATTTCTACCTCTGAGATTTATGATCTACATTGATGCTACACAGAATCAGAAAATATTAGCTTATAATAAAAAAATTAGATTGGTTCCAAAAATGTTTTAACATATCCTTACATAAAAGATAACAAAATACCTGGAATCCTAACAAGCACAATCCTAGAGGATTTTATAACTTAAAATTAAGTTAATTAAGTTAGCTTTAACATTTAGTTGTGCCATAATGTTATAAGTATATATATGTGTGTGTGTATACATACATGTATATATTTTTTTGCTATTGTTAAAGCACAATATGAAGACAAAGAGCTGCCATTTGGGGAGGTAAATAATGTTCTATCAGCCAATGTTCTTATTTCATGTTTACTTAATTAATGTTTACTAAATCCCTCAAAAATCAAATCAATTTTTCATCATAGGACTTGAGACATATATATTATAGAAAATTATTGAAATAGGTATTTTTCAGATAAGCACGTATTTCCAGAAAATTGTTGCTAGGAAGCTATCAAGGATCTTACTAGCAAGATTAAAATTATAAGTATTTATTTACAAAGTTGTACTAGGTAGAAGATAATATTATAAATATTGGCATTATTCAAAAGTTGCTTTAAAAAACCCAAAAGAGGAATAGACAATAGTTATATTTACACTTTTGTTTTCATAAATAATTGATAAAAATGGAATTACTGACAAATATGATCGCTCTTCCTGAATTCTTCCTGAATTAAAATTTAAAATTAACTTGCTAAACATTTTATAACCCAGTATTCCTTAACAATTGCATTTAAAGATTGTTAGAATTATTCAAATTCTACAAAAATATAATTCAATGCCAAATCAATGCTCGTGTTCAACTAGCCGAGTGAAACGGTTATCTGTATAGTCTACTTGAGGAAAGCTGGGAAGAAATCTTGAATATCTTTGCTTAATGTGGATGAATTGTTTTTCTATACCTCAGCTACATGAAGAGGTGTTGAGTGGCAGTTATCAAGACGCACTCCCTGGAAATAAGTTGCAGTTATTTCGGTATATTTTTTCATATGTGCCCAGAGATAAGGGCAGTCCTCTGGTTTATTTCCATAGCGTAATTTAACACTGTCTCCCCAACAAATCAGTTCTCTTCTTAAATAAACATCTGAACCTGTTAAAAAAGAAGTTTGTTTTCAATGGCTTAAGAAATAGAATAAAAACATTTACTTCAAGGAACTATACCATTTTAAAACTGCATTATTTCTACCATAAATGATATATTGGCTAAAATCATATCTAAAATGATATAGGACAAAGTTTTCTATCTTATATATATGTGGCAAAAATTACACCTTATAGTCTCTTCTAAAAGATTGAGCTCAATTTCAAAATTCCAAGTTATTTCCTGAGGAAAAATAGTGATAGCATTATCATAGACTCTTATAACTATAGTTCTACCAAAACATTTTAAGGCTCTGTCTCCAACTTGCTACTCAATTTTGGCAAGAATTTATATTAAATTCATGGCATATAGAAGAATTTCTTTTTTCGTTTAGAATGGTTAGAAAAGAAAGGGCAGAAATACTTAAGCCCAAGGTCATATTCTTAAATAACAGCATACAAGATTTCTGAATCAATTCTAAGGTCACAATAATAAACTACTAATTCTAAACTGTTGAAAAAAATACATATCAAAATGTTTCCTATAAAATGCTTCCTGGCAATAACATGGTTGTTGAAAACAAGATGCTAGAGTAAGTGAGGGGAACCTAAAAAAAAAATTAGTTTCTGGTATAACTGCCTTTCAAATACCTTAATACCTCTCTGGCCAGTGGTTGAAAATCTCTCTTATGTAGATGTAATTATAACAGCATTAGTTTCAAAGTTCTACCTCCTTTTCTTCTCTCTCAAACTGGTGAAACAGTTTAAAAACCTCTAGCCTAGTGGGGAAACAAATCAAAAAAACAGATCATATTGAACTTTCTATGAATTTTTTTCCCTATCCATTGAGAAGTCAAAAGTGATGTACCTGGTTCAGCAAAGTTTCGAAGAGGATCATCTCCCATCACCCATCCATTATGTGCCATGAAAAAACAAGCTTTATTTGGAAGGTGAATCATAGATTCTTCTGCAGATAAGGCCATTTCTTCAAATGGGAAAGTAAAATACCTATAGAGATAAAATTAAATATTAAATCCACACATTAAATATTAAATCCACACAGAGAAACTGCTTGGAGAGAATCTGAATTAGCAACATTAAAAATTAAACTTTCCTCATGAGTATAATAAATAAAATTAGTGTGACACCATTTACAGGAAAAAAACTTCAATATAGGTAAAAATCAATAAACATTATTTACCTCCCCAAATGGCAGTAAATCTTATAGGATATGACAAATGGAGTTAACATTGCAGCATATATAATGCTAACATTTTAAGGAATTTTTAAAACCTCTCTTAAAATCACAAGAAAACAATTGCGATATTGATGCTACTTCTCAAAGGCTTTTACTATCTTCTAGTTGCCCAATTTATGTTACATTTTATCTATAAAGTAAAGAACTATGGAGTTGGGGTATAGCTCAATGGTAGATGGCTTGTGGAGCCCCTGGGCCCAATCCCCAGCATTGTCAAAAGTTAAAAAAAAAAAAAAAAAAAAAAAGAGGAGGAGGAGAAAATAAGGATCTAAATGCTTGCTCAATTTGATTAACACTATATTTATCACTAACTGCTATGGTTTGAGTGTGTCTCCCAAAAGTTCATGTGCTGGAATCTTAATTTCTTAATGTGAGAGTGTTAGAAGATGGGCATTATTTTTAGTACTTGGTCATATGAGTGGAGCCCTCATGAATGAATTAATGCCTTTCTTGTGGGAGGAACTCACACAAGGGACTGGATTAGTTATCAAGAGAGTGGGTTGTTAGAAAGTAAGACTGCCCCTCCTGCTTTGTCTCTTTCATATGTGTTCACTTGCCCTTCCCCTTCCTATCATGAGTTGAGGCAGCTGGAGGCCCTTACCAGAAGCTGAGTAAATGCTGGTGTCACACTCTTAGACTTCTCAAGTCTCCAAAACCTTGAACAAAACTAAATCTTGCTTCTTTTTTTAATATTCATTTTTTAGTTGTAGTTGGACACACCTACACAACTATTTTATTTATTTATTTTTATGTGATGTTAAGGATTGAATCCAGGGCCTCACACGTGCTAGACTCTACCACTGAGCCACAACCCCAGCCCCTAAACCTTGTTTCTTATGAATTACCCAACATCAAGCATTTTGTTACCACAACAGAAAACAGACTAAGACACTAAGTATGCACACCTCCAGAAACATTAATGTAAATAACAACAACTATAAATTTGTTCATATGGATGATCATTTTTCTAACTAAAGATTTGCCTAACACAATTAAGCCTAATTCCAAATCAAAACTCTCGTAGTTTAAGAAATGTACTGAAGTTGTGCTTTAAAGGAAACATTTAGGTTAATTCACAGTTAAAAACAAATTTTAGTTTTTAATCGTTCAAGAAAAGAAAAGAAAATGGAATACCTGGTAACTAAAGGATATCTTCTAGTGACAGGTCCTAGTTTAGGACCATGGCCAGCCAGTCGTTCATAAAACACATTTCCCAAAAGGCAATTAACTGCCTGGAAAATATTAAATTATATTGCATCATCATCAACAATAAAAAAATAGTTTAAAGACTCAAAGAAAAGCAATAAATATAGGTAAAACCTGTTCCTGATGGTAATTCATGAGTTGATGCTTCTCTGAATTCAATTCATCAATTCTATTACGGAACCAATTACAGCACTCTTCAATCGCAGCTGGCCCATCGCTAGAGCAGATAAAGCAATACAAACCTATTTAACATTTTTTACAAAACTTACATATAAAATTTTTCTAACAAGGGTCATAGAAATCTTAATCATCAGAATCTTATTATGACTGAAAAACTTTTCCAACAGTAAAGACTGTTATATACATGCACAGGAATATGACCTGGCACATATAAAAAACATGAATACATCATGTGCTGAAGTAGAATTATGGTGCCTATTTCATTTCATATGAAGGATTTCAATAAGCTCTTTGAAAATTATACTAGCCATAATGTTTTATAAGTAGTAGTAGTATTTATTTCACAAAGAAAACAAATAACATACTCATGCGGTATAAAAGTCGCTAGTGCAATGTTCATATCCACAGTGCAGCCAAGCCGTCTGTATTCAGGATCCTGAATAATCTTCAGATGCTGCTTCGGATCAGACTTGGTTACTCTCCTATTTCCTGAAAGAAGAAAAGATGAGTATTTAAATGCAAATATTCACAGGGAGATTATAACTGTCACTGATTTTAAATTTTTTTAAATATTTATTTTTTAGTTGTACTTGTACATAATACCTTTATTTTATCTATTTTTATGTGGTGCTGAGGATCAAACCCAGGGCATCGCATGTGCTAGGTGAATGCTCTACCACTGAGCCACAACCCCAGCCCCTGATTTCAAATTTTAAATATACAATTATTTCATAGAAAATAAAACAAATATTAATTTCATAACCATCTTCCTACCCCTCCATCCTCCTGCTTATCATCTCCATACCACATACCATACACATACACACAGTGGGTGGGGGTAATACACAGAGACAAAAATATCATTATAAAACAAAAAACAAACAAACATAGGGATTGTTATCAGTTCAACTCAAGCCCCACGTTTTTGCTCTCAGTCAATGTCCACTACTACTATTGCTTCTTCTTTTTTAACACTGCTGGGAATCAAATTCAAGGCTTTATGAGTGCCAGTAAATACTCAACTCCTTCAGCCCTACTTATTAAACTTTATGACATCTGTACTTTGGTAGTAGCATTTTCTTCTCAAGTGCTACCAAATAATCTAACCTCAGGAGTTGTGTTTCCTCAAAGATTGCTTCTAATTCTAAAGTAAATCTTATTAAAAACTTGACTTTCTTTGCTTTCTCTGAAAGAAGTACTTGTGATGGAAGGCGGGAATGAACTGTGGGCACATCTGAGCCAACTCTAAACGGAGGTAGGCCCTTTGGAGAACACTTGGTGCAATTTCAAGGATCTGAGACCACTCCATTGCTTTTGCGGATGTCTGACTCAGAGAGAATTCTGTCATACTGAGGAATTTATTGGGTGAAACAGCCCCAGATTCAAACACAACTCCCGGGAGACGGAGAGAGATACCAGTGCCCCAACTAGTCTTGAGGTGCCAGCTGCCTCCAGGAGGAAGAATTACTGGGCAAGTGGTAAGTCACCAATCATGCCAACTTCCCCACAGCCTCCTGCTTCTTGAAGAACCCTTCCTCACAATAAATTCCTTTGGCCTGTTTCTTTATAAATAAAGCATTTGTGGGCTTTTTCCTTTGTTATATACTAGGCTTAATTTTCCATTAATTAATTAATTGGTCCTTGTTTTATTCTAAAGAGACCTTGAAATGGCTTACAAAAACATAAGCAATAAAATAAAACAGATTCTTAAAACCCAGTTTCTAAGGTTCATCTGGAAGAGTAAAACTGCTAAAAAATGCTTGAGAAAGAAAAAAACAAATCTATACCAGTAGTATCAATAAATAGTTTTTAGTACTGGTAGAATTGAAGGCAGATAAATGGAAAACACAGATAAAAGCCTAAAGTATATTTAGGATATGGCTATACACTAAGAAGTATTATGGTTGTATTTCAAATCAGTGTAAAATTATGGATTATCAATTTAACAACATTTTAAAAATAAAGCTAAATACCTTTTTCATGTGATACACATAAATTGTAGTGTCATAAAATATTTTATTGGAAAATATGAATAATATTATTAGAAAAAACAGTATGTTTATGAAAAGCCTTTTCTAAACATGATGTGAAAAGCCATAAAAGAAAAGACTGACTACATTGAAAATAAACAGCACCATAAGCAATAGTTAAGATCAACAGCATACTAAGAGAATATATTTAACACCTATATAATAAGGAACCATCAATAATAATGAATCAATTTGAAAAGGACAAACAGTCCAATAAAAAATGGGAAGAAATACTAACAGACAATTAATGCAAGAAATGTAAGTGGCTAATTAACATGTGAAAAGATACTTCATTAACATAAAAAGAAATATCAACTAAGACAAGATATTTAACCATACATACCAAGATGATTTGCCTGACTGAAAAAAGATTTTAAAGATTATTGGTATCACATGTTGGTAAGAGTTTTTCAAAATATGTGAGTAGGTATAATTTTAAAAAAGCAATTTGATGATATCTATTGTATTTGAAATTTGCATATCCTTTGACCTACTTGTTTCACGTATAACAATTTATCCTGTAGATCTACTTATATAGCAAATAAACATACATATACAGGGTATATTTTAGATAGTACTGCTTATAAGAATATAAGTTCCACTAGGGCAAGGTTCTTGCTATGTTTGCCACTGAATTCTCATGCCTGAGTGTCCAGCACACAGTAGGTGGATCAATAAAAATGCATTGAATGAAAGAATTACAAAAAAATTGGGGAAAAAAAAAGCTAGTTAAAGTACTCTTTTTATTTTTAAACATTTGTTTGTCTGTTTGTTTGTTTGTTTATTTATCTATCTATTTTTTATGTGGTGCTGAGAATGGAACCCAGTGCCTCACACGTGCTAGGCAAGCACTCTACCACTGAGCCACAATCCCAACCAGTTAAAGTACGTTAAAACAGTGTATTGCTACTTGGGAGTTAAGAGAAATAACTATAATAAATTCATATTGTCAGCTAATGAACAAATTAAATAGTCCATGCTTTAGTTTAATGTATGTAACATATATACAAATATAAAACGAGTATATATATAGTTTACAGAGAGAATTATGTAAAACCACATGTAAAATCTGAATTTCTTTCAAAAATAATCTGAAAGGAAACACAGAAACTATTACTTGGTAGTTCCCTCAAAGTATGTTTTGTAGGAGGGGAAGTTGCACATTGTATTTTATTATATTTTGAACTATTTGGGGCTTTTTCTCTTTATAATGAGCACACATATTACATATAAATGATACTACTTATAAATATTAAAGGAGAGAGAAATTTTTGGTGAATAAAATATGAAGCAAAATCAGGACTAAAAGTTCCTGTATTAAGGTGTTACCTACTTGTAAAAGCTGATGCCTGAATCCAACTGAGTTCTTAAATGTAAAGGCAAACTCATTTCTACTTCAAAGGCAGTATATTTGGGTCCTATTCTAGTCTTGGTCTCTGGACAAGGAAGAAAATTTTCTATTTTAAAAGAACCCCTCCCGAGTCCCCAAACATCCTCCCTGCTGGGCTGTCCCATACTACTTGCAGATACTTTCTTCATAATCCTTTCTAATTTGTCTCCTAAAAACCTCAAGTTCTCTTTGAGTATGTTTTTTTCCTCTTATTTTGTTAAGGGGACACTGATTAACTAGATTAGTTACATCCTTAACTGAATATTTACTTTTTTACCTTTTATTATTAGCTAATATCTAACTTCAGTCTCACTAGTTGTAAGGAGGGTGTTTGTGGTGAGCACCATCGGTTGGAAGTCCCTCTTGCATAGTTAAGATTCTTACCTTAGACAGCAGAAGATTCACATTTCTCGATTTCAAAGCCTTGTTCAAGCCTTTCTCAGCTGAAGTAACCTGCTCTACCTAATTCCCATTCATGCTTTTAACAAATATATGCTGAGTTTGACTATATTCTGAGCATTCTGCCAACAATAAAATAAAAATTGGTTTTATTATTAGAGCATGCCCTTTAGATGTTTCAGCTTCCAGAATCAGTTTTCAAATACCAAAAATATTGTATCAAAACAACAGATTTAATGAATATTAACTAAGGAAAAAAAAGGAGTTATCCTTTTAAAAGTAATATTAAATTTCTTAAAATTGATAGGAACAATCTACTGCATCTATTTACCTTGTGTTAGAAGTCTTCTAAATTGTTCAACTGCTTTGTGAACATCTACTTGGAAAAATTCCCAGAGTTGGATCTTTGGAAAAATATCCTCCCAAATTATTTTTCGAATACACTGAAAAATTTTAACAGTTAAAACATATTTTTAAATATTTCACCAAATATTGTTTAACATATTAAAACACTGATTATAAATAATTTTCAGCTGTATATTTAATTTGTACTTAAGAAATTTTGTTATTTTGATTTAGTCTGGTATTACTGTATAAATACTTACATTCATGTGTTGATCATTTTCAATCAAAGCAGGTATTCCTTTTTCTTTGTATTTTCCTTCTGCAACATCACAGGAAAAATGCCAGAGTGCTCTGTCTAAGACCCAGGCAGGTTTTAAGTGTGGAGAATTCACAAGATTATATGCAGATTCTGGATGTTCCTGGATCCATTTACTATTAGCAGCTTAAAAAAAATAAAAACAAATAAATTTGAACAAAAGAAAACTCATATCTTATAATTAAATTGAAAATGGTATCTATGTTAGGTTTAAAGATGAAATATCAACATCTACCACCCACTTCCTTCTATATTTAGATATCGATATTTTATACTGATTCTGTTTTATGAAAAAAAAAAACTTTGGTTTTGGTATCTTCTCATACACTTGTTTTTTAACTTAAATATTGCTTAGGAAAATACAAAGGAAGAAAAATTAGTTCTTTCACAAGTAACATCTTTGCACAGCTAATCCTAAAGGGTAAAATATGTTGTTTTTATGAGATTGAGAAATTGCTAATTTAATTTTTTAAATAGACAAAAGTTAGACCCAATTTGTTTTATGTTTACAATGGACTAATGCCCCCTGAATTCATACTGAGGAATACAAGTGGTTAGAAAAATGGAAAGTAATACCTACTGCACACCCAGAATTGTTCTACGCAGTTAAATAAACTTTGTTATTCTTCATTTCCTCTCACACAATACAGAACATACTGTTATGTTCCTCTCATAGAGGAGGAACTAAGGCTCAAGGGTTGAGTAATTTGGCCAGAGGAATTAATGTAAGTCTCTCTTCAGAATCTGCAATTGTGACCACTTTGCTGTGCTGATGAGATGACCATGTTTGTGTCTTATTTACTCAGTGAGCTCACTTATAGAATTTTAGAATCAGTATCATTTTTAGTTTCTGTCTTTTATTTAGTAAGCAATTTAGTTATTATTTATTTATATCCACAATAAATAAACACTTAGGTGAAGTCAGGATATATAAGGAGCAGAGATCATATAATAAAAGTGAAATTAAAGCCCAGCTTGGTGTGCACATCTGTAATCTTAGCTATGTGAGAGGCTGAGACAGGAGGATCAAGAGGTTATAAGCCAGCATGGGCAACTTAGTGAGACCCTGTCTCAAAATAAAATAAAAAGGGCTGGGGATATAGCTCAGTGGCAGAATAACTTACTTAGAATGCACATGGCCCAAGTACTGCCAAAAAAAAAAAAAAGTTAAACTGACAGTTCTCCAAACTGGTACCAAGATACTGCCCCGTAGATTTATCATCACATTCACTGAAATTCAAGTTAAAAAGACAAAATGTAGTCATATTTGTATCCCATTAGGATTTTCACTTACTAGTGATGTAACCTAGTGGTAGAGTCTCATGAGCAAGGCCCTGGGTTTGATTCTGAGGACTGTGCACGTGTGCATGGGCGCGCACGCGCTCGCGCGCGCGCGCGCACACACACACACACACACAGATATGTATGTTAAGGATAAATGCCAAGGATATCTGATTTTTTTTCTTTTGATATGTTGCCCTAACTGGTCTTTAATTAGTAGGCTCAAACAATCTTTCTGCCTCAGATTCCTAAGAGGCTGGCCATCTTCATGTCTGACTCTACCCAATTGTTTTTAAGGGTAAAATCTTAAAACTCTATTTCTTTTCTCAATATTTTGATACAAAATCAAGTGGTAAGTGAAAGAATTCTAAACATTAGGTAGTGTAAGTATTTTTCTAATTTTACATGAAAGAGAAATCCACTCTATAGACTTCTGGAGTGCAGTAGTATAGAACTCAGCAAGTACTATCCCCAGCAAAACAATTGGTGAGAATTATAAAATACAATCATCTAAAGTCTATGAAAATTATCCTGTGAACATTTAGCATATGTAGAGCATTTATCTAATGTAAGAACAGCAGTCTCGCAATATGATCAATAGTAACACATATACTAGACCATGCACTTAGAAGGCATAGCTTCCCTTTACCATCTTCTCTGGGTGGGATATGACACAGGAATTGGAGCAGCCATGTTTGATTAAAAGCTGTAAGCAAAGCAATGGAGACAGCAGAGCTACAAGAGAAACAACTTCCTTTCCCTGCACCACTGAGCTAGTACTCTAGTCCTGAAATGCCTACCTAATCTTTTGTAAAATCTACATACAATCTCAATGTTAAGTCACTTTTTCAGTCTCTCTGTTACAGCTACCTAAGCCATATTCTAACTTTTACCATTTGTAACTAATACAATGCCATCACATGATTTGATGAATTTGACATAAATAATATTATAGATGCCTAAGTAATTACCAATACTGTCAATTTTATAAGTAATGAATACTTAGTTGTTAGATTACAATGGCTTCACTGTAGACTTTGAAACCTGGTTTCCAGGCACACAAAGAAACACCGAATGTTAGAATATATCTATTTTTTCAACCTAATTTTGCTGCTATTGTTGGAGATTATCATCTATATTGATGAAATAGATCAATAAATTTTTTAAGTATCTTCATAATTCCTATGTTTACTTGGAAAATACCTCATGAAATTTCTTGAATTTTTGAACCACCCAGAATTCCTGTTCTATACATATGCAAATTAGTGGTTTCCACACTCTTCAACATTGTGGCCCACAAAATATTTTGTAAGGTATGATGGGTTAAACTGAATACATGCCCAGAGGCATCATCAGTCCAGACTCAGTTGCTATGACAGGTAAAAGGAATAACTATCTCCTTGAAGATCATCAGTTGAGAAAATTTGGTACATTTTATAGAACTCTATATAGCTAAGGTATCTTGGGAACAAAAATAGTTTTTTTTTTTTTTTTTTTTGGTGCTGGAGATGATCTAAAGCTCTTTTAATATGTGAAGGATATAACTTCTGAGAGTTTACTGATAATTTTCTCCCCAGTAGTAGAAATCATGTAGTTCTTTTCATACATGCTATAGTACCAGATATTTTGCTATACAGAATATGTTTGTTTGTCTGGAAAGTATTAATACTCTATGTTGAGATATGATTATTAGGTCCTTTCTATCATGACTCTTTTTATAAACATCACATACAAATTCTATATTGACTATATCCTCAACTAGCACTGTTTTCTTGGAACAAAAAAAGTGATACTATGTACAGTGATATTTGAAGTTGAAAGACATTATCATCATGTATGTCTATAAAATTTACATTACATAAAGAATGAGGATGTGGCTTGATAGTGAAATGCTTGCCTAACAGTTTTGAAGCCCTGAGTTCAGTTCCCATCACTGAAACAAACTGTTATATAAAATATCGAGGAATGAAATAATCAGAATTTAATATTCTCATCAAAATTAATGAAGTTCATACCAGTATGATTGTAGACAACATCTGTAATACAAAGAATATTCCATTCTTTTTTCAGTTTTTCCACGACCTGTCCAACATCATGCCATGTATACTTTTTAATAGGTCTTGAGAAATCAGGATTTAATTCTAACTGATCAGCAAGGGAGTAGCACGACCTAGATAGTCCAAGTGTCTGCAGTGGGGTGAAATGAATCATGTTGTAACCTGAAAAGCAAGACAACAAAGACCACTGTAAGAAAAAACAAACAAAACCAACCTAAAACTAAGAAAAATATCAATGTAAACTTTCTTAAGTAAAATAGAAAGGCTACCATACTATTGGAAAAGGAGTCAACGACTTAGGTTCAAATTCTAGCTGTACCAAAAGAGACTTTAAGCAAGTCCACTTATATCTTTCAGAATATCAGTGTCCTCATCTACAAGACCAGGGTAATAAAATAGTGTACTAGAAAAAAAATCACAAAACAGTGCTTAGTTATTATTAGGGATTCAATTTCTATTTGTTGAATAGACATATTTATATACAAAAATATCAGTATATACTCATCTCCTAATTTTAATGTTTCACAGTACTTATAGTACATAGTTATGCCAGTGAACTTTTCATTCCTTTCTTAATCCTACATTTAACTTGAAAATAGAAAATTAATGTTACTCCTATTTTATATAAGAGTAAAATAAGCTTTATCTTATTGTAAGTATTGGCAGCTCATGCCTTCCATGTGGAAAGTCAATATTTATTAATTAAAATTATATAATAATATATTTCCTCTACATTTTAATAGTTTGCTACTGGTTTTATATGTCAAAGCAAAAATCTCAGAAATAACAATGATCACATTTTATCATAGATGTCCTTAAGTTGAACCACATAACTTGACATTTTTATGGATTAAAAAGGGTCAACTTTAAAAATTTTCATATGGTTCTATTTTCATATGGTTCTATTTTCATATGGTTCATATAATTACTAAATATATTAAGAGGTAAAATTAGAAGTAGGAGCAAAACCTCTGAAATCTGTATTTCAGAGGATAATTACATTTATTTTAAAAAAGAAAAGGAAAAGAAACCAAGCTGACATCACCTGACTCTTTTGCAACCCTCAGTCTGTCTTCCCATTCATCCAAAGGTCCTAAACCCTTGGCTAAGAATGTCTGGAGAGTAACACAGTCCAAGGGTAACACGTGATCATCACTGCCAACACGTAAAACAGGGTCCACAACTATGTAACCTCCACCACTTTTCTCATTTCTAAGGAAAAAAAAAGCAAAATTAAAACTTTCCATTTAATGAGAGGGAAAAAGCGAGATTTTTCTAGTATCTGAATAACTGGAAGGAACTATCCTATTTAAAATTATATTATTTCTAACACATACAATAATTTACAAAGTTGCAACAAAACTTAATGGAAAGCAATTTTTTACCCATTCTGCATTATTACACAGTTAATACTACATTGCACAATTACTATATAATTATACCACATACAATATACATAATATCTAATAATGTTGTTTTAATGAAAAACAAATGTACTAGAATTTATCAGAAATAGCCAGCACACTTAAATAAATATCATCCTATAATCAGGTTGTAGGAAAAGACTAGATAATCTCATAGAAATTGAAGAGCCATATTCTATTTGTATCTCAAAAAGCAATGTAAAAATTATACTGCCATGGTTGATAACTTTTTATAAATTACATAATTTCAAGTTTTACAATGAATTAACTTTTTTTCCCCATATACAGAACACCTAACTTCACTTACCCTTGAAGGAAGTAATACTGAAATGATCCCGATTGTTGCAGATTAAGTTTACAATATTTATCAGAATCATCTTCTCTTTCTGTCGGATTTTCCCAATCCAAGGAACGGAATTTTTCTCTATTAAATGTTTCTCCAGGAAATGGGTAGTTTGTATACACAGTAACTGCTTTACCCTGCAAAGTTGGGCCTAATCGGAACTGTAGTTCGAACCCTAAATAAAAACCATATTTTAAAAAATTATGTTAAAAATACTGTTTTATTTAAAGAATTATAAAAACTAAGATTCTGATTTAGCTGCATTTTGTTTTACCAAGTATAGCAAACACTGTGGAACCATCTGCTTCACAATGTCCTGTTTCTTTCCCTGTAAACTGATTCCTATTCACATAGTTACTTTAAGATGTGAAAATTCTTACATCCTTATTTATATTGATCTCCTCAATCCCTCACAGCACCCTACCCTCACCCCTAAATTGACTTGTGCAGAGGTGGGCATCTGAGTGAAGATGTTCTCCAATATTTTTCAAACTGCAGCAGAGAAAGTGAGTTTCTCTATGGTGTCAAGAGTATGGGATTATATATAAAACTTGGGAGGTATACTGGGACAACTATCCTACTCTACAAAGAAAACAAGTCTTCAGTGAAAGAAGTCAAACTCAAAAGAGGCAGAGTTTGAACTTTTCACAATTCTGAAGGCATGTGAGCCCCATATTGATATCTGCTGAAATACAGTCGTATGCTAACAAAGATGTACCAACTGGCTGGAGTGGTGGGAAACACTAACTTGTAGTACTTGTTGACTTCTTCTTTTTTATTTATTTATTTAGTTAGTTAGTTTTCGGCGGACACAACATCTTTGTTTGTATGTGGTGCTGAGGATCGAACCCGGGCCGCACACATGCCAGGCGAGCGTGCTACCACTTGAGCCACATCCCCAGCCCCACTTGTTGACTTCTTGATAAGAACAATTCCACCATGGATAATCTAAAGCTATTGAAGCCACATCATTGAATGTGGAATCAGAAGGGAAGTACACATTGGTTCTTCTGAGTGAGTACATGAACCTCCACATGAACTGCTATCCCTACTCATCATGATTTAGTTATTAAACTCTTTGTTGGAATCCTGACACCCAAGATATTCCCATTCTTTCCCAAGTCATACTATTTCTATTAAACTATACCTGAGACTTGTATTACAAGTACTTATCATTAGAGGCAACAAAAACAAAACCCCATTATAGTTAAAACTTTACTGTTGAAGAGTTTTGGTCGGTTTAAGGAAGGCTTTGAACTTTTGTTACAATTGTTAGAATGTGAAAGTTTTGACTACACTCCAGTCTGTTAGGAATACAAAGCTTCTAAATATGATGTATCTCAATTAATGATAGGCAAAAAAACTGAAGGCAGCAGGAAATTTAGTTAAGTATAATTTTTAATACTTAAGGAATATTTTTGAGAAGATAGGAAATACTAATAGTTATAATGACTGATTTATTAAATAGCCAATAAAATAATAAAACATTAAAGACTGAGCACCTATAGGGAACAAAATAGAAAATTATTCCACCCTTGCAGTGCTGGAGTTCTAGAGAGGAAAGAGCATATTAAACAATGAACTTCACAAATAAATAAGTAAAGGAGGGGACATATATTGAGAAAAAAAGGGGAAATAAGCATTTTAAGGACAATGGAGGAGAGGAAAGATGTTAATGTGGTGGCAGAAATTTTAAATAGAATGGTAACTGAGAAGCTAAAGGGTTTGAGAGAAGTAAGGTAATTGGTCACATCTCTATTATGGCCATCTAAGGAAAGCACTGACTATGCGAAGAAAACAGGACAATAAAACTAGTATTTAAGTATGTGCTGGTTTCAGAAATGACAAGCAGCTTAGTATAGCTGGGTTGGAATAAGGTAAGGGAAAGGAAAAAGAAAAGAAACAGGTAATTAGATCATACAGACCTTCTAGGCCACTGTAAGTATTTTGGCTTCTCTTATCAGAATGAGAACACAAAGAAAAAGTTCTTGAAGGAAATTATTAGTGTTGCTCCCATGAATATGTGAATAAAGGAGGAAAATAGCCTTAATGCTGAATATGGAAAAAGATTTAATGGTCTGAATAGAAGATTAAATGAGCCACAATATTCCCTTCAGCAAAAGCCTAGTCCAGAGCAAGACCCTAACTCTTTTCAATTCTATGAAAGCTAAGGGATGTAAGAAAAGGTTGAAGTTAGCACAGGTTGGCTCATGAGGTTTAAAGGAAGAAGATATCTTCCTAATATAAAAATCAAAGCAGATTCCAAGGTGGCAGCTGCAGTATGAAGATCTAACTAAGATTAATGATGAAGATGAAGGTGGCTACATTAAACAGATTTTACATGTAGATGAAACAGTCTTATAGTGCCATCTAGGAGTTTTTCATAGCAACAGAGAAGTCAATGCATGGCTTCAGAGGCAGGCTGACACTCATTAGAGCTTATGCAACTGGTGAATTTATGTCAAAGTCAGTACTCACCATTCTGAGAATCCTAGGGACCCTAGGAATTACACTATATCTACTTTGACTGTATTCTATAAGTAGAACAGCAAAGCCTGGATGATAGCACATCTGTTTGCAACATGGTTTACCGAATATTTTTAAACCCACGGTTGAGACCTACTGCTCAGAAAAAAAAAAAAAAGTTTCTTTTCAAAATATTACTGCTCATTGACAATGCACTGGTCATATCAGAGTTCTGATGCAGATGTACAATGAGATTAATGTCTGCATGCCTGTTTAAAAAAGTATTCATTCTGTAGCCCATGGATCAAGGAATAATTCTGACTGTTAAGTACAAATATATGTATGTATTGAGTGGTACTAGGGATTGAACCCAGGGAAGTTCTCTTAGTGATATCCCCAGCCCTTGCTTTTAAATTTCTGTTTTGTTTTGAGGCAGGATCTCACTAAGTTGCTCAAGCTGGCCTCGAACTTGTGATCTACCTCTTGCTTCAGCCAGATGAGTTTCTGGAATTAAAGACGTGTATCACTGTGCCCTGGTAAGTCTTTATTATTTAAGAAATACAGTTTGTAAGACTAAAGTTGGCATCAATAGTGATGGATCTGGGTAAAGTAAACTGAAAACTTCTCAAAAGGATTTGCCATTCTAGGTGCTTCTAAGAACATTCACGATTCATGGAAAGAGGTCAAAATATCAAGTTTAAAAGGCATTTGAAAAAAATGTAGTTCAATCCTCATGGATGACTCTGAGGGCTTAAGACTTCAGTGATGTAAGTGATTGTAGATGTGATGAAAACAGCAAGATAACTAGAATTATAAGTGCAGCTGAAGATATGGCAGAATTGCTGTAATTTATTTAAAACTTTAATGAATGAATAGTTGTTTTGTATGATGAGCAAAGCCAGTAGTTTCTTGAAATGGAAACTATTGGTAAATGCTGTGTACACTGTTGAAATGACACAAAGGATTTAGAATATTCATAAATTTGGTTGATAAAGCAATGGCAGGGTTTGAGAAGACTCACTTCAGTTTTGAAAGAAGGTCTATTGTAGGTAAAATGCTAGGAATGTCCCATGCTATAGAAAATTTTTGTGAAAGTTGATTGAGATGGCAAAATTCAATGTGACCTTATTTTAAGAAATAGCTATAGCCACTCCAACCTCCAGCAACCATTGTGCTGATCAGTCAGTAGGAATCAACATTGAGAATTGTCATTAAGGCTCAGATGATCATAAGCATATTTTAGTGATAAAATATTTCTTTCCTTTCCCTCCCTTCCATTCTTTTCCCAATGCTAGAGATCAAATCCAGGGTCCTACACAAGTGAGGCAAGACTACATCACTGAGCTATACCTGTAGCCCTAATAAATTATTTCTTAATGAAGGTATGTACATTGTTTTTTAAGACAGAATGCTATTTTATACTCAGTAGACTACAGTATAAGGTACACATAACTTATATACACACTGGGAAACAAAAATACTATATGACTTGCTTTATTGTCTTGGTCTGGAATGGAGCCTGCAATATCTCTGAGGTATGCCTCTATTGTTAGCTTAGAATTCTATACCTGGTAAAAATATCTTTCAAAAACAAAGATTATGAGAATCAGGTTTTTCACTGTCAGAGAGGGTTGTTACAAATAAACAAGGGGGGAAATTTATAGTGAATATTATATTGGATATGATTCAGAGGTAACAGTATAAATTGCTGTTTACAGTCAGCTTGGGCCAAGTGTGATGAGAGGATTAGCAACTTGGGAGGCTAAGACAGGAGGATTGCAAGTTTGAGGCTAGGCTCAGCAACCTAGTAGGGCCCTAAGCAATCTAGTAAAAACCTGTCTCAAAATTTTAAAATTGATGGGTTGGGGATATAGCTCAGTTGGTAAAGTGCTTGCCTTGCATGCACAAAGCCCTGGGTTCAATCCCTAGCACTACACACACACACAAAAAAAAAAAAAAAAAAAATTGAAAAAAAAATAGTTAATAGTAATAATAGGGTTGGTGATGTAGCTCAGTGGCAGACGGTTCATCTACCATGCTGGAAGCCCTGGGTTCCATTCCCAGCCCTGAAGAAAGGAAGGAAGGAAGGAAAGAAGGAAAATTAGTATGGTTCAAGGCAAATCCTGACACTAAGAACATGTTGGTATGTTCCTCTCAAGTCTAAAATTATTCTTTTGTAGCAGTAAATTGCCCACATTGATGTTCAACAGGTGGTAAATTTTTCTACAATACTAAATAATGGGAAAGATATTTTCTGTAAAGATTTCAGTAAAACATGATAGAATACCAGACTCTTCGAATTTACTCTAATCCAATCAAATTCTATGACTGCCAAGAGAAATATAGCCTGCTTTCATACTGTAGTATGAATAATGTGAGTAAATAGAAGTTCTAACCATTTCTGAAAAAAGTTAGTGATAAGAACTGTTAATTACATTCCTGAATTGAAATAAAATATGGATATAAATTTATTCATAGTAAATGGTGTTAGTAAATCAAAAACAAATTATCCAAACAGTGTTATTAAGTAACTAAACATCCAGAGACTCACTTTTCACATTGTACCATAAAACCAAGAATTTTTTCCCCAGGAACTACGGAACTACATACACAATTTTTTCTACAAATTAATATAGCACTGATATATTAAGAATTTATATATATTATACATGTGTGTGTATATATATATATATATATATATATATATAT